TTTTCTTTAATCTGGAACTTTTTTTTCATAACCATAACATTTTTTTGAGTACAAGCTAGTTTTTTGTGGAATCTTTTCTAACTCTTGTAGAAACCTCAATTTGAGTACAGTAAGGTCTTGATATAATGGACTAATTCAGGCAAGGGAGAGTCTGTTAAAGCTGAAAGTAGGTTTTCTGAATGTGTATTCTAAAAAATTGACAAACTAGTTTACCCGAGTTTACTTATGTAGACACGTTTGTGTAAAATTAAGTAGGAATGAAAAGCTTAATTTCACAGAAAAGTTTTCTATATGTATTACAGCAAATTTAAGTTTATACTACATAGGTCTAGTAAATGCATGCATTCACCTCCAGTGAACAAATGCACACAGCTGCTGTGTGGCTTAGCGCATGTGGCAAAATCGGCCAGCACATGTTACAACTGTAGCAGAAGTCACCCCACGCAACAAAAGAACCAATTGTCATGTGCAATGAGGCGCGTAACATGCTAATCATTCCCTGAATATTGTTTATGAGCAATGACTCTTGGATTTAAATATGTAGACTTGCTCGGCTGGCGTGGCTCAGTGGTTAAGCATTGTCCTATAAACCAGGAGATCATGGTTCAATTCCTACTCAGGGCATATGACTGGGTTTCGGGCTCTTCCCCGATGTGGGGTGTGCAAGAGGTAGCTGATTCAATGATTCTCTCTCATCACTGATGTTATTTGATTCTTCTGGATATTTCATACAATATATGGTATTTTTTAAAATATATTTTATTGATTTTTTACAGAGAGGAAGGGAGAGGAATACAGAGTGAGAGAAACAGATCAGCTGCCTCCTGCACACCTCCTACTGGGGATGTACCTGCAACCACGGTACATGTCCTTGACCGGAATCGAACCTGGGACTCTTCAGGCCCCAGGCCGATGCTCTATCCATTGAGCCAAACCGGTTAGGGCGAGGCCTCCTCTCTTTATATATTATCCTCCTTGGGTGATTCTACCCATTTATAAACCTCAACTATTATTCTCTATTTCCAAGTGCATGTCTTTAGATCTCTCCTTTGGTACCAAGGATCTGTTATCTTCTCCTTCCAATTCTGCTATTATTTTCCTTTGCAAATTAATTACTAATTATGCTTCAAGTTGTTTTGGAAAGAAATCTTATTTTTTATTCTTTCTTTCCCAGTTACAATACCTCAGTTCCATTTCTTTAGATTTATCCTATAAATAAGATCTCTTAGAACCTGTAAGTCTGTCAACGGGAAATGGATAAATAAATCTATTATGTTCACACAATAGAATATTTACTATATAGCAGTAAAAAAGACATAGAGCAGGATTTCTCAAACATGGTACTATCAACATTTTTGGCTGGCTAATTCTTTTTATGGGGCTGTCCTATGCATTGTAGGATATTAGGAAACACCTCTGATCTCTATATACTAGATGCCAATAGCACTATTATTAGTTGTGACATGCAAAACTTCTCTAGATCAATGGTTTTCAACCTTCTGGCCCTTTAAATACAGTTGCTCATGTTGTGACCCAACCATAAAATTATTTTCGTTGCTACTTCATAACTGTAATGTTGCTACTGTTATGAATCGTAATGTAAATATCTGATATGCAGGATGGTCTTATGTGACACTCGTGAAAGGGTCGTTCAACCCCCAAAGGGGTCGCAACCCACAGGTTGAGAACCGCTGCTCTAGATATTGACAAATATGTCCCAGGGGGAGGTATGGGTAGGGGGTGACTTGCATTTGATTGAAATACACTGATCCAGAGGTATATGTATTAATACAGATAAACCTCAAAATAATTTTAAGCAAATAAAAGAGAATCCTATATAATAAAAGCCTAATATGCTAAGTGTCCAGTTGTCTGTTCAACCAAAGTATAATATGCTAATGATATGCTAAGGCTGCTCAACCCCTTGCTATGACGTGCACTGAGGGGGCAGATGCTCCGACCAGTAGATGAGCTTACTGCTGGGGTCTGGCCAATCGGGACTGAGCCAGATGGGCCAGACACGCCCTGGAGCCCCCCATGGTTCCTCCCCAGCTGGCCAACCTCCCGAGTCCCTCCCTGGCCCCAATCATGTACAGGTGGGGGCCCTCGGCCTGGTCTGCACCCTCTCACAAACTGGGACCCCTTGGGGGATGTTGGAGAGCTGGTTTCAGCCCGATCCCGCAGGCCAGGCCGAGGGACCCCACTGGTGCACGATTTCATGCACTGGGCCTCTAGTACAATATAATACTGTTCATATAAAGATCAAAATCAGGCAAAAATTATATTATAGACTGTTTATGGATATATACATATAATAAAAGTCTATAAAAACATGTATGAGGATGATGAAACATTGAAAATAAAGATGGTGATTACCTCTAGGGCAGCTGTTCTCAACCTGTGGGTCCCGACCCCTTTGGCAGTCGAATGACCCTTTCACAGGGGTCGCCTAAGACCATCCTGCATATCAGATATTTACATTATGATTCATAACAGTAGCAACATTACAGTTATGAAGTAGCAACAAAAATAATTTTATGGTTGGGTCACAACATGAGGAACTGTATTTAAAGGGCCAGAAGGTTGAGAACCACTGCTCTAGGGGAAAGTGAGGAGAACAGATTAGGGAAGCTTTAACTATATCTGTGATATTTTATCATTTAAAAAAAATTTAACAGACATTTACTCCTTTAGTTGAACAACCTCTACACACAAAATAGATGATTTAAGATTTTTTAAAAAAATATATTTTATTGATTTTTCACAGAGAGGAAGGGAGAGAGAGAGAGTTAGAAACATCGATGAGAGAGAAACATCGATCAGCTGCCTCCTGCACATCCCCCACTGGGGATGTGCCCGCAACCCAGGTACATGCCCCCGACCGGAATCGAACCCGGGACCTCGCAGTCCGCAGGCCAACGCTCTATGCACTGAGCCAAACTGGTCTTGGCGATTTAAGATTTTTTTAGTTGAAAAGAACTTAGGTCTTAAAAAGTTTTGTGAGTCTGCTCCATGTTTTCTGGGAATCATTTAACTGATCCTTTTAAGATTCCTGAAGCTTGGAGCCAGATAGAAAGTTGTAATATTTTAATTCGTTTATAAAAGAATGGTCTAGCCGAAACCGGTTTGGCTCAGTGGATAGAGCGTCGGCCTGCAGACTGAAGGGTCCCGGGTTCGATTCCGGTCAAGGGCATGTACCTGGGTTGCGGGCATGTCCCCGGTGGGGGATGTGCGGGAAGCGGCTGATCGATGTTTCTCTCTCATCGATGTTTCTGACTCTCTATCTCTCTCCCTTCCTCTCTGTAAAAAATCAATAAAATATATTTAAAAAAAGAAAAAGACAAAAAGAATGGTCTAGAGCAGTGATGGCGAACCTTTTGAGCTCAGTGTGTCAGCATTTTCAAAAACCCAAACTTAACTCTGTTGCTGTGTCACATATAGAAATTTTTTGATATTTGCAACCATAGTAAAACAAAGACTTATATTTTTGATATTTATTTTGTATATTTAAATGCCATTTAACGAAGAAAAATCAACCAAAAAAAATGAGTTCGCGTGTCACCTTTGACACGCATTTCATAGGTTCGCCATCACTGGTCTAGAGCATATTTGGCAAATGTTAATATTTCACAAAGTTAGGTGATGTGCTAACTTGATCATTTTCTTCATACTCTATGTACACTTAGAACAGCGGTACACTTATCCTGCATATCAGATATTTACATTACAATTCATAACAGTAGCAAAATTACAGTTATGAAGTAGCAACGAAAATAATTTTATGGTTGCGGTTCACCACAACATGAGGAACTGTATTAAAGGGTCGCGGCATCAGGAAGGTTGAGAACCACTGACTTAGAATATTGTATAAAAAACATAAATGCAAAATAAATTTGCCCTTACTGACCTTGTTCAGATTTGATTTGACAACAAACTTCCATTTAAATCACTTAGCAGATGAAGATAATGCTACCTTAACCTTTTTCTTTCTGTCATCAATTCATTTCCCAGTTGGAATGCCACAGACCTGATAAAGGACTCTCTCTTTTATTTTTTTTACATTTTCTTTTTTTGTTTAAAGTTTGACATGATAAAGGACTTTCTTATCAAACTATGCCAATCAGTTGTTTAATACCTAATTTAGAAGGTACTCTAAATAACTTCAACTCTATGCCATACTACTTCAGTTTTTTTACAATCTCTTTTTTTATCAAAGCACATAATAAACCAAACTATTAAAGAGACCTAGATACACTTGTTTTATATATACTCAGCTGGTTGTGGTCATAGATAAATATTAGATAAATATTCATGTCAGATAATAAATTATAATTACAGTGGGTTCATTTAATTATAGGAATAGAAGTACAAAAAGAAACTCATTTTATAATAAGAATACAATTAATCTTATTTGGATTGATGATTTCACCAAGTTTTTAAAATGTGATGAACAATCCATTTTGTTTCTTTATCACTCCACCTATTCTTTCATGCATTTGCTTATAAGAGTACTTTTGATTTAGAGCCAAAAGGCATGTACTTCAACACACAATGGCATCAAGTTTCACTGAATAAATAGAGAACAGCTAGAGTACTACTAATTGCATGTTTATAACTTATTGTAACTTTTATATAAAAGGGCAAAGTTAAGAGAAAAAACCTTCTTATGATAACTGGAGAAAGATAATTTAATATGCAGGACTACATTTTTACATTATTATGTATTTGAATACTAAACCTTACAAAACTTAACGGAAATTAATGATCTTTTTTAAAGTTCCAAAGGCATAAAGATGAAAACAAAACATGTGCTCAAAGTTACACAAGATTTTTGATACCATCTTCATGCTAATCAACTCCTCTCAGAAAACAATAAAAATCTAAACTTAGGGACTCAATTTTTAGAAATTTCTGAAATGTTCTCATTACTAATAGGGTCTTGTAATTAAGACATTATTTGTTAGGTTTTAACTGCACAACTAAACCATCATAATACTTACGAAGTCTTCCTCTTCAAACTGCAACTTTTCCACCTTGTCTTCTTTCCTTTCTTCCCTAATCTCTGCAGGTGGCTTTTCCTGAAAGGCACAGCCTTTCCTGGAGTGAAAGCTGCCATTCCAGTGGCGATGGTTTCCTGCGCCACCCCCACTACGCTGGCTCATGCCATCATGACCACGGGAAGAGCCATGCCAACCAGATAGGTTTCCTGTGATTCCAGCATATGCTCCCTTAGAGACACCCGAGTCCACAGAATCATGGCGAAACAGAGAGGGCTGGTGCCAGGAATCTAGAACAGTAAGGAGAAGTAACACATTAGATTATTTGCTTCCTGGAAATTCAGAAATAATTTGGCCAGATGCTTCCTGATCTGGTTTATGGTATCACCAAAAGCCCTTCAGGGGGACCTTTTAAATAAAAGATTAAGTTTACAGAAATCACAAAATATATATTTTTCTTGTAATGTATATGAGTTCTTCCACTGAATAAATGACTCATGGGAATATCCAATATAGTTGAGAACATAACAATGTTAGAAAGCCAACATAGTTGGAGTGTTTAACTGAGAACTATGCTTAGAAAAGATCATAATTTCAAGATTATGGACATGCACCCTCATGCTGGGCTTGCCCTAAATGAGTAGCTTAAATATAAACATCGAAGTTGGCCATGGCTCACCTCCTGTAATTCGTAGAGGTCCATTGTTAAAAAAGCCATCAGAGGAATTATGTCGACGACGGCTTACTCCAAATCTACCATCTCCTCGGGGTAGGTGCTCTCCGTGTTTTTCAAAGGTGGTTGTAGGTGACTAAGATGATAAAGAATAGGGAAACAAACAGGTAAGTAGATATGTCTTTCTTAGATTTTGTAGCAGGCATTTAGAAAACAAGAAATAACTGTGGCAGAAACTGCCATTATGAGAATACTAGTGTCCCAGTGCATGGATTCGTGCACACTGAAAGGAAATTAATTATAAGAAATATATATTATGTGTGTGTATGTGTATGTGTGTGTGTGTGTGCGTGTGTGTGTATGTATTATTTTTGTCTAAAGTTTTACGTATGTCTCCTTTTTCCCTGATTGACCCCCCTGCCCCGACCGCCCCAGTGTCTGTGTCCATTGGTTATGCTAATATGCATGCATACAAGTCCTTTGGTGCTAATAAGAAACATTTTAATATCGCTATTTGCCCTTTCTCTATACTAGAAGTGTCAACCAAATTCATGATCGACAATGACAGATGGAAACACGTGTGCAACTGGCGCCAGTGAGAGCTTTATATGTATCATGCATGCGTGAGTCAACTTAGCCTTTAATATATATTGAATAAACTTGTTTAAATTCGACCTGCTTTCTGATGTACCTAAACTTTTTCCAGCCCAGTGAAGCACCCCAACTTCTCTCTCAGGTAATTGTCAGCAACACAGCAGTAAATATCAAGAGGAAGCAGATTATTATTGTAGATCATGCAGGGAGAACAAAGGGTAAAATATTTAACTGCAGCTGTGTTTGACTATATTCTGCACAGTGAGAAAACCTGAAGTCATTTTCCAGGTCCACCATTTCTTCTTTTCAGTGGGGTCAAGTTTCTAAGCTTTCTAAATCTCCGTTTTCTGGCTGTTGAAAAGAAAATAGGATTCCACTGAGTCTCCCATCTACCTATTCCAGGACTTCTGTGAGAATCAAATGAGATGAAGCACAGGAAAAGGCTTCATAGACATTTTTTTTGTGTGTGTTTTTTTTAAATATATTTTATTGATTTTTTACAGAGAGGAAGGGAGAGAGATAGAAAGTCAGAAACATCCATCAGCTGCCTCCCGCACATCCCCAACCGGGGATGTGCCCGCAACCCAGGTACATGCCCTTCACCGGAATCGAACCTGGGACCTTTAATGTTTGCAGCTGGCTATAAAGCAAGTTGTGTTACTCAACTGAAGAAACTGCAAGGAGGCTAGTCATTGCTAGGGAGAGGAAGCCGGGTGTTGCTACGTGACATCATTACCCGGGGCCCATAGCCACTGTTTCCGGGCTGAGCTGGGAGCCGCATTTTGCGCCATGTGGTTTCAGCAACGTTGGCTGCAATTTGGTGGGCTGTTGCTCTGCGTGGTGGCGGGGCCTGTGTCCCACTTGGGAGAAGCTGAGTGTTGCTTTGTGGGCGCCAGGTCCGCAGTGCCATTTCTCGGTGCGCGTCACAGCAGCGCCTGTGTTGAGCGTCTGCCCCTTGGTGGTCAGTGTGCATCATAGTGACCAGTCAGACAGTTGGACACTTAGCATATTAGCCTTTTATATATAGACTGAAGGCCTGATGCATGAAATTCGTGCAAAAGTAGGCCTTCCTTCCCCCAGCTGCTGGCACCAGTGACCTGGGCTTCCCTCCAGCCTCCAGCAGGCACTTGGGACCTGGACTTCCCTTACAGCTCTGGCTTCCTCTGGAAAGATGTCCATTGTAATTAGCATATTATGCTTTTATCACTAAAGCTAGGCCATAATAAGGGTACCACAGGCCTCTGAGTCAAGAGAGGGCCTAGGTTACATATTCAATCATTAACTCATTTACACTATCCCAGAAGGAAAGAAAAGGCAGCTACTTCAGTTAATCACAAAAACCCTGCCAGGCACAGCCAGTGTAGCTTAGTGGTTGAGTATCAACCTATAAATGAGAAGGTCCTGGTTTGATTCCCAGTCAGGGCACATACCCAGGTTTCAGGCTTTATTCCCAGTGTGGGGCATGCAGGAGGTAGCTGATCAATGATTCTCTCTCATCATTGATGTTTTAACTCTCTCTCCCCCTTCCTCTCTGAAATTAATAAAGATCTATTTAAAAACAAAACACAAAACAATCTTGCCAGAAAGAATAAGTCCCAAAACTTCACACTTAAAAATATTAAGTTAATCTCGCAATAGGAAAGAAAAATTAAGATGTTTCCTTAAAAAATTCTAGCCGAAACCGGTTTGGCTCAGTGGATGGAGCGTCGGCCGGCAAACTGAAAGGTCCCAGGTTCGATTCCGGTCAAGGGCATGTACCTGGGTTGCGGGCACATCCCCAGTGGGGAGTGTGCAGGCGGCAGCTGGTCGATGTTTCTCCCTCATCGATGTTTCTAACTCTATCTCTCTCCTTTGCTCTCTGTAAAAACTCAATAAAATATATACATATAAAAAAAAAATCTAAACAGGTTATTTCTGTAAATTATTTCAGACTGGAGGAGTGGTTTAATGCCCACCTTTGTAGGACACTAACAACTACACAAAGTTTTTATCCTCCTATATAATAAAAGGGTAATATGCAAATTGACCCTAACAGCAGAACGACCAGAATGACTGCTTGACCAGTCACTATGAGGTGCACTGATCACCTCTTGGTTCCTTTCCCTCGCCGGCAGGCTCTGATTGTCCGATGGCAAACGGGGAACCAATGATGGGTGGTGGGGGGTGCAGGTAGTGTTAGGCCAAGGCCCTCACACTGCCAGTTTCCGCACACACAGAGGATGACCCACGGGGGGGCTGGGAGGGGGGCGATCAAGCGGGAATGGCTGACCTCTCGGTCCCTTCCCCTGGCTGTCAGGCTCCTATTGCCCAATGGCAAATGGGAACTGGGGTGGGTGGCAGTGGGGGGTGGAGCTGGCTTCGGGCAGCTGGTGAAGATGGCCCTGATCGCAGGCCAGGCCTAGGGACCATACCCATGCACAAATTTCGTGTGCTGGGCCTCTAGTAGTTTTATAAAAGACTTATTTTCAAACATTACTTAATAGTTATAACTACTATAATTTGGCATCATCCTCGTTTTACTCACTTACACATGAATAAAGAAGTCAAGGAGAATTAGTCTTTGAAGTCACACAAAAAAGAAAGCAGTTTATGGAACAATTTTACAAATGAACTGTAATGTCCCTTCCTATTCCAAATAATTTTATCCTATGACATTCTTTAATCTCAAATGATAGAGACTAAAGTCTAAAAAGCCATTTGAAGTATAGATATATTTGACAAGGGCTTATAGGAAAACTACAGGTTGGGGCATAGACATTTTTACATGTAATTTATTAATATTTTCACCAATATTTGGTATTGCCAGTCTTTTTTATTTTAACCACTATAATGGGTTACAACAATTTTTCTCCTATTCTTTTTCTAGAAGTTTTATGGTTTTTAATTTCTGCATTAAATTACCTTGGCACTTTAGTAAAAAATCAACTGGCTACATATTTAGGACTATTTTTGAATTCTCTATTTGATTCCATTGCTTTAATATGCCCATCCTTATGCCAATACCACACAACTTTGCTTACTGCAGCTTTATTAAAAACATTGAAATTTGCCCGGCTGGTGTGGCTCAGTGGTTGAGCATCTACCCATGAACCAGGAGGTCACTGTTCGATTCCAGGTAAGGGCACATGCCTGGGTTGCAGGCTCTATCCCCAGTGGGGGAGTGGAGGTGGGGTGGGGTTGCAGGAGGCAGCCAATCAATGATACTCTCATCATTGATGTTTCTATCTTCTCTCCCTCTTCCTTCCTCTCTGAAATCAACCAATCTATCTATCTATCATCTATCTATCTATCATAAATATAAAATAGAACAAAGGTAATTAGTCTATGAAAACATATTTGAAATCTTCTGGCAAAGCTGAAAATCCAAAAACACCTAGACTGTAAAACCGAAGCCATAGACAAGTTGGGCATGAAAAAAACACTGGTATTTGGGTAGTTACTATAGGAATGGACCAGTACCTTAACTGCCTGTGGTGTTGAAAAATTTAGCCAAGCAGGAACAAAGTCATGCTGCGCCATTTAGGTCCAGTGTCTCTTTTCAGCAAGGTGAGGCATCAACCTCATGGCCAGGATCTGAAAACGAGAGAACTGTCATCATTTATGCTTGCAAGATCTTGATACTAATGTGTAAAGGAGTTTGTGATTACTTAAGATCCTGCTCTTTACAGAAAGACCTGCCCTCTGAGTCTGTCTAGATTACTAATCAGAATCCATACTTCAGAGAAGTTTTAAACAAAGAAATGGTCTGTGAATATATATCCATGAAAAACACACATACAAAAAGTGACCGAGACCTGGAAGGTTATATGAAAGAAGCTAATGAATTCTTGAGTTATAGCAGAAGAACCTTAAGAATAAACAATTAGCCCTGGCTGGTTTGGCTCAGAGGATAGAGCATCGGCCTGTGGACTAAAGGGTCCCAGGTTTGATCTGGTCAGGGGCACATGCCCGGGTTGGGGCATGCAGGAGGCAAAGAATCACCGATTCTCTCATCACTGATGTTTCTCTTTCTCTCCCTCTCCCTTCTTCTCTGAAATAAAACAAATGTATTTTTTAAAAAAGAATAAACAGCCAAAACCGGTTTGGCTCAGTGGATAGAGCGTTGGCCTGCGGACTGAAAGGTCCCAGGTTCGATTCCGGTCAAGGGCATGTACCTGGGTTGCGGGCACATCCCCAGTGGGAGATGTGCAAGAGGCAGTTGATCGATGTTTCTCTCTCATCGATGTTTCTAACTATCTCTCTCCCCTCCTCTCTGTAAAAAAATCAATAAAATATATTTTTTAAAAAAAGAATAAACATTTACTCAAAATTATAGATACTTATAAAAAGATATCTCCTTTAGGTAACTTTTGGCAAAACCAGTAGGGAAAAAAAAGGCAGTAAAAAAATGTTCCTAGAGAAGGAAGATACAACCTTTCAAGAGTTTTATTTAGTTCACATTTTAATTTCCTCAAACACAACTATCATCAGTTTTTCCTGAAAGATCCATTATTGTCTCCAAATCACCCCACTGATACTTTCCAAAATCAAATACACCAGAAAGCAGTATATCTTCCACGATACATATACATAACTTCTTCCCAAGTTAGACATAGGAGAATATTTACCCCAGAGTGTAACCTCTGTGGTCCTGTTTCCTGAACTCCTTGAGTCTGCCAGCTGGATTTCCACGAGGTTCTCGTTAGAAGGGTGCTTAATAAGGCTGACCAGCAGCACACCTTATGATGAAGCACAAAGAAGCCAGGCTCTGTGTGGATCACTCTCTCAGTCCCCTCAATTGCTCATCTTAAACTACCTAGTTCCTGACACGGTTTTCAAAAGGGAAAAGGGGGGAGGGGAGGGGGAGGAGGAAGATAAAAAAAGTATTTGTTACATTTAAAAATGGGGGGAAGGGGAAAGACCTATGTCTATGTTCACCTCATTCAACTTCCTTGAGTGATGGGTCTATGATGTTGTTTAAATAGATAATACATTGATATTTGCACAGTGAGTACAAACACTGTTCATAACAAGGGCATCACTAGAAAGAAAGGTGGACTTGCAAGGGAAATAATGTCTTCCAAAGTGAGGTTTTCTTCTCTGCAGTTTTCTGTATTTTACTTGTTTTGCCCTTTCCTCAAGACTGAAATTGAGCTACTGGAAGGTGATGTGAAGAATCTTCTATTGCTTCAGTAGAGAAGTCATTTATTATTTTGGATCCATATCCATCATTATTCAATAATTTAAAAGGCCACAGGAATCTAACACTATAAAAAAAACAAAAACAAAATAACATTATCACAAGGCGAAATCATTATTACATATAATTGCTAAAATGAGACAATCAAATGTTCAATCAAATAAAGGTCCTTAGGAGTCAAAACTCATGTCTAATTTAGACATTAATGTGTCACCACCTATAGCAACAACATAATAAGCTGGTTATAATTCTAAGAATTTTAGAAAAGCCACCTGAAGAGAGTCTGCTTTTTAAAAAATCTTCACCCGAGGATATGTTTTCAATCATTTTAGAGAGAGAGGAAGGAGAGAAAGAAACATGGATGTGAGAAACATCAATCAGTTGTCTTCCGTATGTGCCCTGATCAGGAATCAAACCCACAACCTTGTCCCAATCAAATGAATCATCTGGCCAAAGCAAGAGCTCGATTTTTTATATAATCATTAATCCAATTAGCTATCAAAGGAATTCAGAAATGCTAATTATGCCCTAGGTTTGATTTCCAGTCAGGGCACATACCCAGGCTGCAGTTCAATTCCTAGTCAAGGTGTATGAGGGAGGCAGCCGATTGATGTTTCTTTCTCATTGATGCCTGCATGTCTGTTTCTCCCTCCCCCTACTCCTCTCTTTAGGTCAATTAAAAAAAAGAAAAAAAAAGGAAATGCAAATTAAAGAGTGTTAGATTTATATATAGAACAGCTTGCTATAAATAAATGGTCGAAGAGCCATAGAACTTGCTCATTTATTACCACAGTCATCATCTATCTAATTATTCAGGCTAGTAAATACCTCCGTGGGGAAATAAAGGGAAAGAAATAAAAAAGATCATGGGGTGGGGTGTTCAATTTTATCTATAATACATTATTTCTTAAGTTGAGTGATGTGTACATGACTACCCACTTGTTCTCTACACTTTTTTAATATATTTGTAATACTTAAAGAGTAATAATAGAATAAGCACATAAGTTGGGTAAATGATTTGAATAATGTATTTTATAAGTTGAAACACATATACATGTAAACATACATATATATCAATCATCCAGAGTATATCTAGTCCTTCAGCAAAAATGGAATAGCCCTAACCGGTCTGGCTCAGTGGATAGAGCGTCGGCCTGCAGACTGAAAGTCCCAGGTTTGATTCCAGTCAAGGGCATGTGCCTTGGTTGCGGGCACATCGCCAGTAGGAGGTGTGCAGGAGGCAGCTGATCAATGTTTCTAACTCTATTCCTCTCCCTTCCTCTCTGTAAAAAATCAGTAAAATATATTTTTAAAAAATGGGATAGTCATAAAAACTGACCTTACACTAGTTGTTTCAATTAGTTCCAAAGAATGAAACACCCATGTTCTCTAATCACATTGAAAAATTAGAAAATGACTTTCTCTTGCAGTTTCCTCTCTTTGTCCTTCCTGATGAAATCCTGTCCAAAGCCATTAGGTGGGGTCAAGCAAGTTAAGGATCTGTTGGTGGCAGAGGAGGTGCTACAGAGACCCAGAGCAGGGTGTTGGGGCCTAACCAGATGTGAAGGGTGTCCATGTGGGGTGGAGAATGGAGAAATGTGTGTGTGTAAAGTAGCGGCACAGTGCAGGATGTCAGAATCCATTAGGCATCACAAGCAAGTGTCCCAATAGGAGGGCAGCCCAATGCAGAGTGGGAGCCTGAGTGGAATGAGAAGGGCATCCTGGCACAGGGATAAGGCCAAGCTAACTGAGGGCTTCTATGCAGCAAGGTGCCTTCACAGGTGTTTCAACTTGGGTGTGGTTAGAAAGGAATACTTTCAAGGGAGAATGTGATAACAGGAGGTTGGTCATATATTGGGAATTAATCAAAAAGTAAAAATATTAGGAAGCATGGGTGTCAGATTGCTTACTGTGTGAGACAGGAGGCAATGGTAAAGAAAATTTCAAAATAAATAGAACGACAAAAAACACAATAAATTTGCAATATTACAGCTAGGGCAGCACTTAATAGAAAGTAAGTTTTAAAAACACTTTTTAAGAAGACTAAAAACAGCCCAGCTGGCGTGGCTCAGTGGTTGAGCGTTGACTTATGAACTAGAAGGTCATGGATCTGAGTCCTGGTCAGGGCATATGTCAGGGTTTCAGGCTCGGTCTCCAGTGTGGTGCATGCAGGAGGCAGCCCATCAATGATTAGCTCCCATCACTGATGTTTCTATCCCTCTCTCCCTCCCTCTTCTTCTCTAAAATCAATAGAAATAGATATTAAAAAAAAAAAGACAAACAAACTGACCTAATAATCTAGATGATAGAAAGAATTGAATTCATGACCTTCTGGTGCACAGGGCACTTTTTATCATATATTATAAGGTCCTTTGGTGATGTCTTTTGGGGCTGTAACCATTTTTAAAGGCAGACTAACTGAAGTAGCTTTTGCTTAAGTACTTTAATTGTGCCTTCTAATGCACTTAACACTTGCTTCTTCAGAAAGAGTTACAAATGTTGATCTTAACTCCCAGCAGCAGGCCCAAAATTTGCTGCTTGTAGAATGTCGTTCTTTGAAACTCACACGACATCTAGCATGGATGCCTTCCAAGTAGAAAAGATTGAAAGGTTTAATAAGTTATAATAAAGCAAGGATGCAGAAAAATTGGAAACCTCTACATCATTGGTAGAAATATAAAATGGTGCAGCTGCTGTGGAAAATATTTGGTGATTCCTCACAAAGTTATAGAGCTACCATATGACCTAACATTTCCACTCCTAAGTATATATCCAAGAGAAATGAAAACATCTGTCCACACAAAAATTTTTTAAGTGAATGTTCATAGCAGCTTTAGTCACAATAGCCACAAACTAAAACAACTCATTCATATATCCATCAACTGATGAATACATAAACAAAATGTCATACATTCATACAATAGAATATTGTTCAGCTATAAAAAGGAATAAAGTTCTAATACATGCTACCACATGGATAAACCTTGAAAACATTATGCTAAGTGAAAGAAGCCAGATACACAGGATGACAAATATTACTATATGACTCCATTTATATGAAATAGACAATCCACAGCGACAGAACACAGATGAGCCATTACCAGGGACTAGGGGAAAGGAAGTCTGAATGCTTAATGCATATGAGGTTTATGTCTGGGATAATGAAAAAATTCTGGAACCAGATAGTGGCGGTGATTGCAAAACATTGTCAAGGTACTTAATGTGACCAAATGGTACAGTTTAAAATGGTTATGATGGTAAATCTTATATTATGTATATTCTGCCACAATTAAATAATTATAATAAATCTCTTGGATGTCAATAAAAATAGTCAATATTAAATGTAAGCAATGCTGTATCTACTTCATTCTTTTTCAAGTTTTATCCAAGGGCTTTTGCTTTCTCCCTGCAATATAACAAAATCACCTGTATCTAAATACTAGATCCAACCATTCATAACTATTTGACTAATTTATTTTCTTTTTCTTTATTTCAGGGAGAGGAGGGGAGGGGAGAAGGAGTGGGAGAGGGAGAGGGAGAGATAAAAACATCAATGAGAATCACCAATCTGCCACCTACTGCACACCCCCTACTGGGGATTGAGCCCCCAAACCCGGGCATGTGCCCTGACAGAATCGAATGACTTCCTGGTTCATAGGTTAAGGCTCAACCACTGAGCCACACCGGCAGGGTGATGATCAACGTTTTCAAAACCCAATATGACTTATTGGGCATTTCATATTCACGCCGGCAATCTATGAGGTACTTCACAACATGGCCTAATTTTACACCTTATAATTAAACTTATACTGCTAGTACAGATTATCCCTGACAAGTGCCTTATCTCAATCTCCTCTACCTTAATTTTCCTTTACCACTCTACCTTGTGTGTATTTTGATCTCAATCGCTCTCATTTTCTCCACAGTCCACATCTACGACTACTGGTACCTACAACCTCTATCTACTCTGGTTTTATTCAACTAACAAAAACCACACCCATCTCTCATCGAGTCTGTATTCCCTTTAGGTATTTATGCTCATTTTCCTTTAGTCTTTCTTAACAAAATTTCTATAGAGAGCAGAGTACACTTAGTGTTTTCATTTTCTCACTCCCCTATTTATTCCTCAATCCATACCAAATTACTTCCCTCCCACATATACACAGTAATTCAAGTTACCTCTATAACACCACTGGGGCTTTGGCTATAATATAGAGTACAAAAAAATAACCTATGGGAAAATAAAAAAGTACACAGTGTCTAATTTTTCATTATCTTGTAAGTGAATGTTCATAGCAGCTTTAGTCACAATAGCCACAAAGTAAAACTTTAAAATTTGGGACCACTGATGAGAAAACCAAGAGTCTGGGGACCCAGAAAGAAGTTCAGCAGAAGTGTATTTCAAGAAAGTAGGAATGATCAACTATATCAAATGCTATCAAATGATGGAAGACTGAGAACTAACCACTGGATTTAGCAGCACGTACGTTACCAGTGACTATGCTGCAAAGGGCTGCGTGAAAGCCTGATTTGAGTGGGTTCTAAGGGACTATAGACTGCAACACTCCTTTGAGTGTTGTAGAACAATGAAATAGGGTAGCAGCTAGAAGATTAAAGAAGTTTTTTCTGGTACATTGATGGGAATGACCTAGTAAAGAAGAAAAACCTGATGTAGTTGATGAAGCTGAAAACAATGCCCTTGAGTAGGTGAAGAGTGGGATCTGATATGCCAGAGATTGGCCTTCAATGGCTTTGTTATTTACAGTAATAGTAGAGGGAAGGCTGAATACCTGAGTACTACTACAATGAGAGCTTAGACCAGTGATGGCGAACCTTTTGAGCTCGGCGTGTCAGCATTTTGAAAAACCTTAACTTAACTCTGGTGCCGTATCACATATAGAAATTTTTTGATATTTGCAACCATAGTAAAACAAAGACTTATATTTTTGATATTTATTTTATATATTTAAATGCCATTTAACAAAGAAAAATCAACCAAAAAAAATGAGTTCGTGTGTCACCTCTGACACGCGTGTCGTAGGTTCGCCATCACTGGCTTAGACTGTC